AACGAGTGGGAGTGTCGAAGCTGGGCGCTCAAAGGGTTCAGAGGGTCAAGTAGCTTGTTAAAAGATCAAGGGGGAACATTCCACTCTTAACTTCTAAGCGGTGAGTTAGGGAGAAATGGCAGAATCGCGGGCCACAAAATCTAACACGGCTCGCACCTAGCGCTTGGTCCGATAGTTGGTGCGTATAGATGGCTCCATGGTAGGTATTTAAGACGCATTCACCCTGCCTTGCGCGAAAATTTGGAGGTCACACAGGTCAAAGTCAATGGGACAGGGCAAGATTTTTGACATTTTCTGCAGGACATGGTCTGAGCAGGATGCGATTGTAAAAACTTGTTTTGTGTCTTTCGCGGTGGTGCAAACTAGCATTTTTTATGGCATTAATCTGATAAGCCATGACAATTCCTTCTGACCTGTGACATTGCGAAGAGTGTAAGTGTCGGAATAGACCTTTTTGACCCTTCAAGAGGCAGCGGTTCAACATGGATTTGTTGACTGTCCTTTTTAGAATAGAATTTCGACCTGCCGGTTTGCCTAGTAGAATTCATATACATGTCCTGATGTATGAAGGCTACAAATGTCACAGTGAACATTTTCAGAAGCTCAAATTTGTTAACACGAAGGTTTATGCTCCTTAAATCGGCTCATAGATTTCTATGGCATTCTGTACTGCAGCTTGTATACATTGTACCGTATGCACTTGCCATGGCTTACATGCCAGTGATGTGTTGGTGGTAGGTGTACTGCTGTAGTTTTTTGCCTGCTGTTAATTGGGTTATAACCGTGGCAGCTCTCTATTTCACCTGTAGGCATTTCCCTAGGATAACCATGGATGAGGCTTACTCATATCTGTCTTGGCCACAAATAGTTGCTTGCCATACTTCCGTCACCCGCGATGGGAGCTATCCCATCTTTAACCTGCAGAGACACCTTAAACGTTACGGGCCATCTCGTGCGCAAACTTTCATAACGATCCCCAACGAACATTCTGCCTCCTTGAGAAGGTTCCTGATGACTATCCCTGTGCAGTTCCACGCGCCGTCCTTTCGGCGCGTGTATGATGAACACACCTTCTCGCGAAACTAACCAGGGCTTTACTAGAGATCCCCTACCACTCGCACCCACCGAAGAGCTCACCCGCACGCCTGAACGTTAGCGCTCATGAGCCGGCGGTCGTCGCCTTCCTCCGCGGCGGGCACGCCGGCACGTTGTTCATCATCAAAACTCCACGGACTCGCGACTCCCGGGTCCCGCGTCCGTGACTCCGGGCTCGGACTCGCGGTGCTGCCACTGCCGCTACGAGACTCGGACTCGGACTCGGACTCGGCCGGGTCGCCGGACTCGACATCAAACACTGGTGGCACACACCACACCACCACACCTCTAAGTTCTCTCTCTCTCTCTCACACAATTATCAGGTACAACAGCTCACCACACTTCCCCCTCTCTTTCTCTCTCACACAGACACACACACACGCATCGCAATCAGCAGAGCATTCGCCGGTTGCGTAACATTGCGTGTCACGTGTCGCAACGATCCACTGTGAGATGATGATCGCGACACGTAGCCATAGCGGCTCCTCGTCTCGGAACCCGGCGCGTAGCCACTGGCGCGCCCCCCAAAAAAGATCAGGCTATGGTGTCACGTCTCGTGTGTACTCAGTACTGAAGGATATGGGAGCGTTAATTACTTCCGACGCAAGTACTAAAGACCTAACACTAGCAGAAAAAAAACTGCTCAAAGCCGTAGTTTGCATCTCTATGTACTTATTAACTACACAAGGTGCCAGTTACTGTAGCATTCGTTAAAATTGCATAATCAATGGTCGTCTTATGCCTTTAAATGTTACGTTTATAACCGTAGCAACAGACCTCAGATGAGCCCAGACGCTCTGCGGCTCTTGTTGTGGTGAGCTATAGTGTCATTGACACTTTCATTATAATCTGCCACGATAGTTAATTTGGCTATACACAGTCTAACGTAGCTCTAGGACTATAGCCCGCGTACAGTTGCCGCAGGATACTGCGGCCTGCGGCAACTGTACGCGGGCTATAGTCCTAGAGCTAAGTCCAACGTAGCTTCAAAGTAGAATGCTTCATAGTACGATTCATACTTGAACTTTGAAGTCTCTGCGAATAACGTGACACCTGCAGGCATCCACTGTAATAGTCACTGTTACTGTACACTAATATCTACAACAAATGCACAAAACATTCTCACCATTCTGGAGAATAATGAACCTCTACGTTTGTAAATTAAACTGAACCTAAACTCATGTATGGCTTACACACATTAGCATACATTTGTTGACATGCACGTGAAAACCCTCACGTTAAAATCAAAACGTGGCTTTCAAATAAATTTATAAGTAAAAGTAAAGTAGGCCCTACTCTTCTCCGGACACCCTGAAAACGCGTGTAGCACATTACTGTACAAGGAACACTATTACACACGCATACATACCACCTGGGGTCTACGCAGATCGAGTATTCTGCCAAGTCACTATAAATTCCTTTGGACACATTCGCAGAATATCCTACTACATATCACAGTTGTGAGTTTCCCATGATCATACAGAACATACATTGTGACATCATTATTAGCCACACACCATGAGCTGTCAACTTTGTCATTAAAGTCAGAGAGAGCGGTGCCCATTAACTCTAATTCCCACCTCATTATTCTTCTTGTCTCTGCTTGGCTTTAGTACTACAGCCCTTATTGGTTCAACCACAGACGCCACAGTATGAAATCTGACATTGCACCCCTCCAGTACGGATTTTCCTTGCAGGAGAAGTCGATAGATTTGATGTACTTTACTAACCAGTTCTTGGCCCAGTTCACATCACTTCTGTCCTTTTTACAAGCTTCACAAAAATCTGTGAATTTTCTGTGTGAAATGTGAGCATAATTGGTTTTCTGCATAATTCCCTCCTCATGGGCAGTATGTTCGCCAGAAAGCTTGGCTAAATTTTTGTCACTATCCTTGCACACATGATACCACCTCAGCTATACTGAAGGTACCTTTAAAAAAAAACTTTATATATGCTGCTCATCTAGCAGTTCACAGAAACCCTTGAAGCTCTCATTCCAACAATAGGGTTCTGGCATAATTTGGAAACTCATAATGAACGTTTATAATAGTGTGCTTTGTAAACACAAGATTGGAGGTGAATGTGTAGTTGCATGGTGTGAAGTGGCAGTTCTGTATTTGATATTGGTAATTGCTAATTAAAATAATGGTAATAATAATAATACATAATATTAATAATATGTCTTAAGATATTAAAAATTTGTGTTTAAGTTATCATTCATTTAACCATTCCATAATTTGAGTGTGATTTGTTAAAGGTGAGTTAAGTTGTAAGTATCAGGAGTGCATCAAAACTAATTTTGGTTAGTTTATTCCCTCCAGGGATTTCAGAAGTGCATGTGTTTTATCAACGGATTGGCATATGGTATGGGATTTCACCTCCTTTAATGCATAGATTTTTTTAAAATTCAATAACCTGTGTCATTTTTGGGCACTGCATTTTCAGCTAATAAACAGAAAAAAAACAGGAGCATGATTGGTTTAAACACAGCTGGAAAATAAGGCATGTCGATTCGGCAATCACAGCATATGTCAGTGGATTTATGGGATGTCACAAAGTAATGTATACGCCATATTTTTTGCGTACAGATATTTTCGCGATTTCAGACTTGACGGACAATTTTGTGAGTGGTTAATTTCGCGGTGGGTGAATTATGAATTATTCGGTATTATTCGAATCTGTATGAATTATTATTGCGAAATTTGCTAAAATTAAACCACCGCGAAATATACAGCGTATACAGTAGCTTTGAGGGCATTTTGGACTCTATTATATGTGTTAAAGAGCCTGGAAAAACCCTGCAGTTTACCTTTACTATATTTACAGGTCACAGGTGCTAACAGGGGTATTGGATTAGAAATCGTCAAGTCTTTATGCAAACAATTTCAAGGTGATGTTGTTCTAACAGGTGAGCATAACCATTTTTAACCTTCAAATAATTGCTGTTATATACAAATCTAAGTTATTTCAAAATTTTGTGCATTGATGAGTTTTGAGTAATAGTTAGTTTGTATCTCATGTGATATTCAGATAATATATTTGTGTTATTAATAATGTTATTATAGCTGATTTAACAGTAAATCAAGCACAAGTGAAACACTTTCCTATGCTTCGTCAAGATTTATTTTCCATCATCTCATTAAAATTGTTTAACATATAGATCTATTATTATTAGCTCATCTGACGTAGTCAGATGCAGCTTGTAGAATCGCATGATTGTCTGTCCGTCCGTCCGTTCGGCCGTGCGTGCGTGCGTGCGTCAACAGTTGGGCACAAATCTTAACCGCTCGACGTACGATAACAGGGTTTACTAGAATCCCACCACTCCACCACAGAGTCACCGCAGTAGACGTTAGATGAGCGCTGTCGCTCTGCGGCACTTGTTTATCAAAACTGGACTCGGACTCGGGTGGTGTGGACTCGGACTCGGACTCGGGTGGCGCGAACTCGGACTCGGACTCGGACTCGGGGGGTGCGGACTCGACTACAACACTGGTGCACACACACACACACACACACCTCTAGTTCTCTCTCTCTCTCACACATACAGACACACATACACACTCCCCCTCTCTTTCTCTCTCACGCACACACACACACACTCGGCAATCAGCAGAGCATCCCGTTGCGTAACCATGCGTGTACGTGTCGCAAGATCACTGTGAGATGATGTCCGGACACGTAGCCTAGCGGCTCCTCGTCCGGAACCGGTCGCGTAGCCACGGCCAAAAAAGATAGGCTATGGTGTCACGTCTCGTGTGTACTCAGTACTGAAGGTTGGGAGGCGTTAATTACTCCGACCAAGTAACTAAAGTACCTAACACTAGCAGAAAAAAAACTGCTCAAGCCTAGTTTGGGAACCTCGTATATATTATTATAGCTGAAGTAGATAATAGGGTCTACTATTAGGGTATATATTATATATTATAGTATATATTAGTAGTATATATTATAGGGTATACTATTAGGGCACTATTAGGGCACTATTAGGGTCTACTATATAGGGTCCCTATTATCTACTTCTGATTATAGTTAACATATATAGCTAAACTAATCCGTGGTGCTAAATTAGGATTGAGCGAAAAACTTTGCAATACTAGCAAAGCAAAAATAATAAATACATGAAATATAAACACCCCCCTATTTTTAGCTCACCTGGCCATCGTCAAGCTGAGCAATTGCCATGGGTCGTCGTCTGTCGTACGTCCATCCGTCCGTCCGTCCGTCCGTCAACATTTCGCTTCGGTCAACGATAACTCAGGAACCGTTTGGCCCACATGTTTGAAATTGGGTATAGTTGTTACTGCTATGCTCCCATATTAAACGTCCTATTTTGAAGCACGCCAGTCGACGTACTTTCGAGCCACGGCAATTTTTTGGCAAAAATGGGAATTGCCATTAGTCAGGACAGGTTCAACGGAAAATTATGCAAATTAGGTAGGGTTTGGCAATTATATAGCATATTATATAGAGACAAACAGTCTGTGGTGTCACACTCGTCTGGTTCGTTTTACAAGATTTCATTGACAATATCTTTAATGCAAAATTGCTATTTCCTCTCCACCCTGCCGATAAAACGTCTATATTAGAGTAAAGATTTACATAACATGTCGGAACGCAGCATAACCTATTTATTTCAAACGCCATCGCTACAAAGCGGGTATAGCGCCATCTACGGTCACAAATTGTGATTCATTTTGGTTTATAAATTATTATTGCGATATACAGATGGCAATCGTTTCTATAATGTACGTCGATGGTTGTTCAATTATTTTCTTCTTACTCACCCATTTGTGTCCTTTTTTGTGGTGAGCTACA